TGGTGGGACCAAAGACTGACATTAAACGTATGCGCATTTTACGTCAATAACACTGAAGATGGCGTCTGCCAGGTTTGCCTCTGTCGACGTTGAAGAAATAATTAAAAGCGAAGGAAAAAAAAACGGAGAAAAAAGATTAAATTCGATACCCAACTCTTTTTCGCCAGTATACGAAAGATAAAATGTTAATCATTATTTACTTATATTTGTTAAAAAATGTTACTCATTTTATCATATTTCTTGTTAATAAAATGTTACTCATTTTACATATATTTTTTGTTAATAAATTGTTGCTGTTTATTTACTTATATTTGTAGTTGTTAATAAAGTTATTTTTTTCAATTTTCAACTTAGTTAACCAGATAAATAGGTTATCCAATGGCAAACTCGTGGATATGGTCAGACCGATCACCTTTTTTTTATATGTAGCTGTCACATTGGCTGATTTCCATAGATAGGTATTTTTGAACTTCTTAAGATAAGTTAAATTGCATAATGGAATAGATAGTATTGATTTTAGTAATTGGCCGCTTAATTCGTCTTGACCAGATGCTTTTGAGGTGTTGATTGCGTAAGTTGTTGTTTTACTTGTTATAATTTTTCACATCATTGTTAGCGTTATTTATCACCTAAATATATATTTTTGCATTTTCCATCATAACTCTCATCTTACTTTATATATCCCCAAACCCAGTTCGACTTAATTACATAATTTGATCCCAACATTTTCACTCTAGCATATACAGTTTCCTCCTGTTACATCCGCTGTACATTCCCTTTCTAACCTCAAGTTATTTCCATTATGCTCCCCAACTACAATAACCACTGGCAAGAAGCCAGATATAGAAACACTAATCGTCAACCAAACCAATATCACGTACCCTACAACGGCCCTGTCTTCCATCGACCTTTACCACCTACCAATCCAGCTATATCCCACCCCATCGTCGACCTACCTACAACACAGCCTACCAATCCAGAGGTAACCATCGACCTGACCAACAACAGAAACGACTACCAGCCCACCGACGCCAACCAGTCCCCACTCATAAGGAGGAAGAACCCTTTGTGAAGGTGTTCTTCCAAGTTTTGCAGTGCCTCCATCATTTGGCAATCCTTAACCTTCAACAGCAAGGCCAACCAGCGTTTACCTTGAAACGCAAAATCGCTGAATTGGATAGTTTTATACGTCCAGCAATGAAACATCAGCTGTCGACGCAAATATTAGATCCCTCAATCGGACATGACTCTCTAAGGTTAAGCAGGTCCTGATCGACCATTACCAAACCACACTTCAAGAGAAGCTGACCATTCGTACCAAGTCTATATCATCACCTGCCGTCGACCGCATCGTTTCTCCTGGGCCCGTCGCTCCTATGGGAAACGTCTCACTCAAGCTGTAATCACTAAATTCTACCAAACAATCAACAAAACAAAAACCAGAGTAACCATATCTCTACCAACTGAAATGGACACTACACCTGCACCATTACAGCCAACAAAACCTTCCCAAACTCCAAGATCCTCTTCACATGTATACCCATTTCAAATAAAATCTCGAAGAAAGCACAACAGAACCTCAGCACCCTCAACAACATGATGATGGAGTCCAGTATCAACAGCGCAACAATCTTACCACCCTACGAAGAAGAATTCGAACCATTGATAATCTTCATTGGTCTCCAGAAACAGCAAACAGCATTTATTTGTTTTGGATACACCAGCTTGAAGCATCGAGTAAGTCTTTAAACTAATTACTGGGGATAAAAATACTGAGAGGCCACCGCTAGGCCAAACTGTAGTTAACTTGAGCCGCAAAATTCTCACACCCCTTCAGCATTCAATCTTAGACCGTGGACTTAAGTTTATTCCCACACCAAAGATAGCTAACTTAAATTATCTCCGACCATCCATTGAACGATTTCAACGAAATCTTAGTTAAACATATTTTTTTCGAAACCACCCCCGAAGTGATGCTAGAACAATGTTTATTCCTAAATCTACGTGGACACCCCCTCGGGCCGCCATCCATCCTGAAATATTGAAAGCATTTGCGAGTATGAATAGCCAAACAGTGAACCTTTCCATAACATACGAAAAGCCTAATCTCACACGAGTGGAACGTGAAGCGTTAAACTTACTTAAGAAAGACGATAGCATTGTTATTAAAAACAGTGACAAAGGTTCATGTTGTGTCATTCTGAATAGGGAGGATTACGTTTCAGAAGCAGAGAATCAACTGAATAATCCTAAACATTATGCCATTTTACCGAAACCAATTTTCAAAGAAACTGCTAACATGATTAACAACATTCTTGCCGATTTAGTCAAAACTAGTTAACTCAAACAGAAACAATATGACTATCTGTCTGCCAAACCTGATTGTCGCGAGAGACATTTGTACACTTTGCCTAAAATCCATAAGAATCCAACCAAGGAGTGGTTTATCTCGAATAAAATCCCGAAAGATTATATCTGACTGTGGTAGTGAGTCATATGCAGTGTCAGAATACATTGATCATGTCTTACTACCTATAGCATGTCAACATCGCGCCTACCTTAAAGACACAACCGATTTTGTAAATAAAATAAAAAATCTTCGAGTTCCCTCTAATGCTATTTTAATTTCTATCGACGTGTCTTCAATGTATACCAATATCGATAACACTACTGGTTTAACGGCAGTTCGTAAAGATTTTAATAGAAACCCAGATCCAAACAGACCCGACGATGCAATTCTACAGCTTTTAGAAATTTGTCTTAGTCGAAACGATTTCACATTTAATGGTAAAACATATTTACAAACGTCAGGGACAGCAATGGGCAAACGATTCGCCCCTTCGTACGCAAACCTTTTCATGGCAGAGTGGGAACGTGAGGTGTTGCCCCTCTTTCCATTTGACCCACTTTTTACGGACGCTTTTTGGATGACATTTTTATGGTTTGGACTTCTTCTATCGAACAGTTTTGGGAATTCTTTGAAATTCTCAACAACCACCATCTTGCTATCACACTAACCGCAAACGTGAGTGACAAAAGCATAGACTTTCTCGATACCACAGTCTTTAGGGAGATTCCATAGCAGAAACAAATAAACTGGATATTAAAGTGTATTTCAAAGAAACTGATACTCATCAACTCTTGCACAAGAGCTCCTTTCACCCAAAACATACCTTTTCTGGTATAATTAAGTCACAAGTTTTACGATTTCATCGAATTTGTACAAGATCGTCTGATTTCAACCAAGCCTGTACGATTGTTTTCTCAAAACTGAAAGAGCGTGGGTACTCTAAACATAAAAAATTCCACCTTAGCACAGATAGCAGCTAAAAACAGACTTTATGCCGAAGTACCTCTAGGGTTAAGAAGTGCTCCATGTTTGTCCAGTAGATGCAAAACATGTCCCTTTATATCAGAAACTCATTATTTTGTAAGCAACTCTACGAATAAAAGGTATCCGATCCAGGAACATTTAACATGTGAACATTCGAATGTAATATATTTAATTTCATGCAAGAAATGTCACAAACAATATGTAGGAGAAACTAAGAATAATTTACGAACTCGTTTAATGCTCAAAGGTCAGACATCAAATTAAAGAAAGACAAGTCTGTTTCTAATCATTTCAACCTCGACGACCATTCAATAGACGATCCGCCCTAATCAATTGAGCGTATAGAAATTGACTTGCCCGAAGATGAAACTACCAAATTCCGTCAATCCAGGGAAGCCCATTGGATTAAGACATTGAATACAGCAAGACCTATAGGTCTAAGTATTCATCATAATATAGGCATAAATGTATTCAAAAAAATAAGAACTTAAATGATAATATTGTTCATAGTAAACTAAAAACAATCAGTACATAACAGATACTATACTTCTCGCCCATCGGGCGAATTATTTTTTCTAATTTCAGATCAGAATAAGAACAGAAGAAAACCCAATATCAAGACCCTTAATCTCTAAATTAAGTGTCTGCTCTACCCGAGGCCTGTACATTTGGGAGAATCAAACCCTCCCTTCCCCGAAATCTAACTTCCTGTGGTGTTAGTACTATTTGAGTGATTGAATTTAGACATTGTGAAAGCTCGGAAAGTTGTGCGTTGTACTCATCAATTAACTGATGTAAAAACCAAAACCTAAAAACCATCTCAAAAACAGTTTGAATATACAGGTCTTTCTCTATGGAACTCTTTAGCCGTTACTATTAGATTTTCTACCTACATAAAAAAAAAAGCTTTGGACAAAAGTGTATCCAATTTAATAAATAACTATTACCAAATTTGAATCTATACTATCTTAGTGGACGTGATATTGCCATCGCCACTTTCCGTCCATCTATTTCTTGTAGACACGATAAGGACTACAGTATTTATCCGATCTTAATGAAATTTGGCAAGCATGTATATATAGTGGCGAGATCTTGGTCAAGTTTTAATTTGGTATTAATCAGATGAGTGGTTTTGGAGTTATTGCCCCTGACTTAATAAAGATGCGTAAAATTTGGCTTGTAGACACGATAGAAGTTCAAATTTTAAATCCACTTTGATGAAACATGTATGTATATATTGATAAGATATCATTAGTTTGAAAGTTTGAAATTAACAATATTTTGGTTTGAATTGCCCTCAGACCTTCTTCGTTTATTACCTTGCCTGACAAGCTATCTCTTATTTAGTTGTTCAAATGTTATGTCCATACCAATATGTTGTCTTATTTTGCAGGTTAAATTGTATAGAGACTTTACTATTTGCCGATTTTTTCATGAATTTTCACAAGTCGTGACTGGACAGCGTGGAAATTTCAAAGCTTGGGCTTCAATTAGAATTCTTTGGACCATTCACAATTCCAAGTTGCATCACCGAATTTCTGTTTTCTACTGAAATAGACACAGAGCATGTTAAACTTTTATTATTGAACATTTTAAGATGGGGACGTGGGTCGGCCTACACAGTCTACTGACTGAGATATATTTTGCTATAAATTTTAACTAATTTATTTAGATATATTTAAATTTTTATTATTAAAAAAAAACAAATACAGTATGTTTTTACAGTTGATTAATATTTACAATTTCGGATGAGTAATATACAAGAAACACATGCACTGTATTCTCTGGACATTCAGCCAACTCGTTCAACTTATAGATATTCTACAACCAAAATGAAATAGATGCCATTCTATTAATATTATACAACGGATTTCATTCTAAAAGTAGGAGATAATGAAGTCATAATACTTCATAAAAAGTTTGTTGTTAACAGAATTTAGACTTTTAAGTCGTAACTGTTGGTCTCACCAGGTTGGATGGGTTTTCGACAATGTCGCCAAAACATCATGATAAGTTTTAAAACCAGAGCAGCCAACCCGATACCCAGTAGAGCTGCTGTAAATATTGAGTTTGTTTTGTCAGAATTCCAGTTCTTATCCATACTTCCACCAAGTGCAAAAGGAACTACTAAGTACGGCGTTAAAGTGTAACGAGAGAATTTGTCTAGGAAAAACAAGTCTGTGAACACAAAAAGTGTAATTTCACCCGTAAGAATACCCAAAGCGATAGTTCCACCAGTTTGCAGTTCTACCCCTAATCTGTAGACAAGCATCATGACTAAATTTAGCAATGTTGCAATGGTTGTCCATGTTGCAAATATACCTAGTCCGTTATGCACAAAGAGTCTGTGAAGCCAAAGTTCAATATTACGGCCTTGTTTGGCCAAGATTGGTGCATGTGTGGCATAATTCTTGTAAGCGATGAAGAGACAAATGTACAATGTAAAAGATACCAGGAAAAGGGTAACAAACGAAATTTCGATGAGCTCTCTGTCGAAGACGAATGTCCAAGTAATTGTGAATGCTATGTCGATTGCGTATGCAATAAACAGAGCCGGAGTAAGTACCATTGGACTGACATAAGCAGGATTACCGTCGACTTTTCTGAATATGTTAATGAATGCAAAGATAATCCAAAGACATTGCCAGAAGTAAATCAAACCCCAAATACTAAATGTCCATCCAGAAGGAGTTATACCAGTAAAATACTTGTTAGACAGTTCCGACAAATTGTATCTATAAAGATCTGAAAATAGAAAGGATGCAGTTGTGGGTTTAAACTGACTAAATAATAATTTTCAGTTAGTTAATTTGTATCTTCATTTTATTTGTTGAATAGTAAAAATAGACTTACTAGTTTCAAAATTATTAATCGCACTTAGTGCAAAATTAAACACTAAAATTAATGCAGCAATTATCATTGTAGCTAGTAACAATTTGTTATGTTGAGCCATCTTGAAATTCTGAAATAGAGAAAAAGTTAAGATGTCATTAGGAACGATTTTAACCGTTTGAAGTTACATGTTAATATTTTATATCAACTTTGTAGCTGCAGGTGACATTTCTTATACATCATAATCATCTCTTGCCCCGGGAGATGCAATCTGACTTATACAATGGCGTGATAAAATAACGTGATGAAATAGCTTAACTATATCAAACAGAATATGTCTCATTACTTTACGTTCTATTCGACATCTGCAAACACAATACAGAGTTACTTTGGTAATTTTCTGTCATCTTTCAGTGGGATCATTTCATTATATATTATAGAGTTGGAACTTACTCGGAGTACAACACATATTACGTAGGAATGAATAAATTTTTGTTAGATATTAAAAACTCCAGTATTTTATAATTCAGTTCTGAAGTCAAAGTGGACTAAATTTGTCTAACACCTGATTACGAGTATAACATCTTAATAATGATTTTGTATGAAGTGGTAATAATACAGTTCTTTTCTACTTTGAATGGACAATGGTATCAAGCTATTAAGGAAGATGTTCTTTAATAACACCTTTCATATAAATAGACACGTTGACAGTAATTAGCCTTAGAGAGTACATAACAGTAATTTCTATTAGAATGTAAAACCATTACACTGACAATGGGAGAATTAACACAACAAATTATATTCTTATTTCAGTGCCAATAGCTAACTTTGTTACATAAACATACAGAACCTACGTTTGGTGTTTCTTAACCATGCTGCAATTTATGAAGGATATATAGTGCTCTATAGAGAAAAATGACCAATGTCTTCATCTAAAATTGGACTTTCACAAAAAAATTAGCAATTTCTATACACCGTTACAACTAATGACTGTATCTGTGGCATTATGTTTCTTAAAAGGTAAAGCTCTGGCTGTTATACTGATGACTAGCTGTTAAAATTGTTTATCAATATAGGTATTGCAAAATTTTCGACCGTCCAGAATACAGTAGGTGTTAAGTTCAGTAAAATGGACTTTTATAAATATGACAATTTACATGAAAGATGTATATAATGAAACGGTCATAACCTTTACATTAACTTTATTTTTACCTAAAGGGTAGGTCAACGGGTGCAGCCGACCGAAACTTGACATTTTGTGCGAATTATTCATGGTTCGGAAAACACGCTCATGCTTTAGTATACACGACTAAATTCACTTTTGAATCTTGTTTCTTCATTTGTGTTTTCGTCCAGCTTTAAGTAATTTGTTCGGATTTTTTTCTTATTCAAAATTGACCAACATGCACTTCCATAGTGTTATTGTTAGTGATTAAATGAACATAGTCAAATTATTGAAGTCATTCTGAAGCCGATATAATCTCAATCTACGTGTTAATGTAGACATGTACACACATTCCATACTAATAAATAAATAAATATAAATATTTCTACCCGTAGTAAACCACTTTACGTCATAACTTTATGAAACTTATCGATTTCAGAGTTAAAATAAAAACTTTACCTTATCCTGGCCAAAAGGCTCCCCGATTATCAATCTGATCGAATCTATTTATCAGTTTTACTATTGAGTATAACGTTCCACCTTATCCACTGAACGCTTTCTTGTCAACTGAGGTTATACAACCAATTTTGTTTACATTCTTTAATTTCGTCTCACTCACGTTTGATAACACGTTTGAATGGTTGTACTTGGTTAGTTTTACTCACCAATTTTCTTCGTGATAAGCCTATGTATTATTACTTATAATTACACAAACCGTGGTAAATCAAACATGACCCTCGTTTACTCAGAAAATTATAATATATTTATATACATACAGAGCGACGATAGAAATATATTTTCGTCAATATTTGATGGGGCTAATCAAAAGTATGAGAAACCGAAAGTGAGTTAAGTTCAATGGTTTCCATATCATTATAAATGATAAAGAGGTTTGGCGACTTGATATTATGAATGAGGATGAAGTTTGACAAATCTTGAGATTATGAGTGACGGTGAGGTTAAGCAACTCTTGAGATCATGAATGAGGATGAGGTTAGGCTACCCTGAGAAAATGAGTGATGATAGGTTAAGCCACTTTTTGAGATGATGAGTTTCTTTCTCTTTTAACAATTCTTGAGCTTATGAGTGATGATGAAGTCTGGCAATTCTTGAGATAATCTGAGGAGCCACTGAGGCTCAGTTAGACGCTTGCTCGTTAACCTTAAGGTTCGGGTTTTAAATCCGGCATGGTTTGGATGTTTCAACCCGGTTTTCTCTGATGCAGGAGCCCTAACAGGTGTAGAAAAGTAGAACGCGACACTCCATTTCATTTCATTTGAGACTATTTGTCAAAATTCTTAAAGAGCATGAGTTATGATTGAATTAAGCATGGCCTAGCTCATTAACGTCATATCCAAGTTTACACCATGGTCAATTACATACATATATTCATTTAACGGATTAAGCAGATCAGCATATCAAATACTTAAGTGTCGGTCTGATTTTAATGAATTAAAATATCATCTCTAAACTAGATTTGAGTGTCTTTAATCGTCTTTGGGTTGACGACATGGTAATCAATTAAATTTGATTTAGTATACAGTCGTTCTTTATCGACCGCAATTAACATCTGTGAGAGGCATGGTTAATTCGAGAGTAAACTGACCAGACCTCCTGTTTGTATGAACTCCAAGACATTAAAAGACAGATGACAAAGATTTCGAGCTTTCATGTGAACATCTCTAAAATGACAGGAAAATAGAATTCAGAAATCATCGTGATAGTAGAGAGTGGGCTTAAATCGTTCAGCGTATCAGCCTGTATAGGTGTATTTCTTTAATTTGCTCTTTTTTATTGTTTTGCTCAATTTGAAATGTATTCGAATTAAATAAAGCTTATGTCAAATTTGTATGTGAAAAATTTACATGGTACAACTACTTTACATACTTCGTGTAAGTGAAGATCAACTATAGACAGAATGGTTGTTGGTGAAAAGATTTTAAGAAGTTAACGAGAGTGAGTGAGTATCAATATCAACACTCATTTAGACAGTAGATAAATACAACAATGGATGATGTCATAGCTATTATTCAACGGCTTACAGCATTAATTCATGACAATTAATCCAGATATTATACAAAGGTTCATTAATGGCAATATTGTAGTTAAAGTTTTGGTTCAAATAACTGTTACTTATCAGTAAAGCCGCGAATAGACGATGTACGGTCAGTAATAATCGATCCAAACGAAAATAGAACACGTGAACACATGACGCATATACGGGCTCGCTTTTACTATTTTCTACTGTATCGATAATCCCGCATCCTACATCGATTATTCGTACCTTTATTGTTACATACATTGACTCTGAATAAGCACCTAAAGTGGTATAATGTGAAATGTTAGCGTTTAAAGCATGCTGATCGCTATTACGGATCAAAGTTCGAATGAAACAAAGAGGCACGCGTTCTGTTGGGCTCTTGTCCATACAAGCGATGAGTGACTGGAGTATCAGGAATATATAGGCATGCTCAAATAACAATTTGAAAAATTGAATCCAATTCAACATTGTTACCGATATTAAATGCATTTATTGAGCATTAAAACGTGGACTGTTTTCACATATACATTTGATGGTCCAATCAATATGGAGACAAAGGGGATTTGACAAAGATAAAACTCGTGTATAATATAATACTCATTTTTAATACCTTCAATACCAGAGTCAACAAAGTATACTGACCTAAAATAAGTACACCAGATGCATGTTCTCAACAAAAACATTTATAACGTTATAAAAGATTGTACAAAGAACAAAATAACATACGGGACAGTTTGGGATATTAAAATTTTCTTCCAACATCGGAGATTCAATTTAAGGCTCAACAGAAGAGCTTTTGATAAGATCTTCGGATTTAGATTTTCTGCAATGACGCATGAACATCATTATCAATTTCAAAACAATAGCTGCCAGTCCTATTCCAAGGAGAGCTGCACTAAATATAGAGTTTGTTTTCTGGGAATTCCAATTTTCTGATAGGACTCCACCAAGAGCATAAGGCACAACTAAATAGGGTGTTAGTGTATAACGAGAAAATCTGTCAAATAAAAATAGATCTGTTCCGACAAAAATTGCAAATTCGGCGGATAATACACCCAATGAAATTGTACCTGCTGTCTCGTAGTCGACATCACATCTATATATTAACAAGGTAGTTAAAGTTAACAGGGCAGCGATAGTTGTCCATGCAGCGTAAATACCTAATCCATTGTGGACGAAGATGCGATGTAACCATATTTCTATATGACGCCCTTGTTTGGACAATATTTGATTATGCTCGGCAAGCTTTTTATAAGCGACAAATAGACAAAAATATAAAGTAAAGGGCACAACGACAAGGATTCCAAATGAGGCCTCTAATATTTCCCTGTCGAAAACAAATGACCAAGCTGTAGTGAGACAGTAATTGAAAGCGTATACAAAAAATAAAGATGGTTGTAGAATTACGGGATTGATGTAGGCTGGAATGTCATCGACTTTTCTAAATACATTCACAATAGCAAATATTAACCACAAAGCTTGCCAGAAGTAAATCAATCCCCATATACTGAACGTCCAAGCTGCAGGTTTCACACCATGATGATACTTGTCCGAGAGATAACTCATGTTATGTTTATAAAGGTGGATAGCTGCAAAAGATAATTAAAACAATCTTATTTTGATGAAATGTATTTTTTTCTAGTCGTTCAATACATACCAGATGCAATGTAATTGATGCTACAAAATTATATTTGAAAAATAGACGAAGCGAAACATGAATCTGTTTCAATCAAAGCAAACATCATATCTGATGTTTCTTTCAGTGGCACTCAATAAATACATTCAATAGCTGAACAAACATATCGCAGTACTTACGTGGGTCATCTAAACTGCTTACAGCACTGAGTCCAAACGAAACTAATACAACCACCACAACAGTGATAATAGAGGCTAACAATAGTTTATTATGGACTGCCATTTTGAAATCTGAAATGAAAGTAACTAGTTTTATTAAATGAATCATTCGTTGATATATCATGCGCTAATTCTCCACGTTATAATGTATAGAACATTGTAGTTATGGAAAGCATGGACAGCCGATAATGCGAGGAGCAATTGACATTAGCGTGCACATGTCTTATGTCATTCCGTAACGCAAGTTGAAGCCTAGATGTCAGCTACATTGTAATATTAGGAGGCATAAGCATGCCTAATGGACTTAGACAAGGTATAGATGAATTCGTGTATATTCTTTAAATTAATCCGAAGACTTTTCATATTGTGTAGACATTGGTCTGAAAGAAGTAATAAGAGAAAAATGCCTCACCTGAGTCTTGTCAGTTATAAGTATCAATGATCTATTTTGTTTACTTGTCAATTTTTATATAGGTACAGTGATCGTCACGCTCATTGGAGACGTTATACAACAAAATGTCGCACTTGTTTTATTGGTCTATTGTGGGGTTTCACGTTCATTCAAACGTGATTTCACTGGCTGTATTGGGTATGCTTTGACCGAGACAACAAATTCATATTATACAATCCCAAAACCTAACCTTCTTTAAATCCTTTATTTGATATTATACGTATTCACGCCAACCAAATAAACCCATTTGGTATAAGATGTGAAATTATATAAACCTGTAAATATTTGCCAACTTTCATGAATAACTTTCTTTTACAGATCATTCTTCACGTTATTTTGACTCGTACTCTTCATATATCATGTAATGCAACTTGTTATTTATATTTGTCTAATAGTCACCGTTACTTATCAGTATTGCATTTTTTATGAACCTTATTGTTGCCTTGTAAATATCTTGATTAGCGGAAAATTAAAAAAAAAATCATCATGAGAACAGGTTGACACATTTGCAGGGCCGTATATTTTGCACAGGTATTATGGTGTGTATCATTCATTAAAATTGTGTACGATACCGAAAAAATGCAATGAATTGTGTGGCAGTTATGAGTATCTCACAATTTCAGATATTTATTACACTGTAGTTTAATTGAATAGGAACAAGAAGGGACAATTGCTTTTGTTGAGTGCACATGTATTAAGTGAGTACTAAGCGTTTATTGAGCAGTTTGGTGTTTGGCTTTATAATGGCTCGATGTTATTTGTTTGAATAAGTAGGAGGCACATTTCTTTACAATTAGGCGATTATTTTACTCATATCCGTACACTAGTTTTCAAACGGCTCCCAAAGAGCATACCGAATCATTTACGCAATGTTTTTAAATATTTTTGGAGTTTAAAAATTAACGGCAGGATTTTTTAAAACTGTCTGATACGTTAAAGGGCACATTTCGCTAGATTTTGGTTTATAATTTTTAAAAATTAGAGAACAAAATTTATTTCGACCTACAAAAAAAGGAATGCCCCCTTAACACTGAATAGTACCCCCAATTATAAACAGTATCATTTCTAGCAGAGTACACAAATATTGTGATGATAAAAGATAGCTGGCGGGGTATGGTAATATACGCTTACTGGCAACTTTGATTTTGAATATTAAAAAATGGCAGTTCAGTAACAGTCGCCAGTACGAAATATTCATACACTTATGGAATTTTTGGGGTGATACTGAATAATATTACAAAGTTTTGTCCAAATCCGACCTTTTAGTGTTACGAGTTAAAACTTGAAACCGTTTTCATGAACGAGGTCAATAACTCATATTACAGATTTTCGGTAGGGTTCATCGTTGGGTGATTACAAACACTCTCGCCCTGTTTCCAGAATCGTGCCTTCTGGGGTGTTGACGGGCTAAAATATGAACGCGTTTTCTACAGGGTTCCTTCTTGGGTGATTACAAACACTCGCAAAAATCCGCCAAGATTTGTACTTTCTAGGGTGTGAACGAGTTTTTAAGAACAAGTCATACTAATTATTTTTCGATTTTTCGAATTTTCAATGAGGTTCATCCTTGGATGAATAAACAAACACAACAATTAATACATATAAACAAGATTAACAGATTAATATATACACAGATTAAAACACATATAGATTAAAATATTTAAATGCCGATTATAGTAATTAGTTCCTTATAACTAATGACAATTCCTTGAATGATTTAAACAAACAAAAATTGTAACTAACAAAATGAAATAAGTAAAACATTAAAAGTTAAAATAAATTGAAAAATATAAGAATATGGGCCCACATCGTGTTCGATAGATTTTTTCTGCTGACATGGAATCCGCTAGTTTGTCACGTGTCTTTGTTTGCTGGAATATATTCTAGCAGACGACACCTTGAATTCCGATACACAGTTAGGGATTATGTGAAAAGATGACAGATGAAACATTTTAATATTTGAAGAACAAAGAGAGCACGACTCGCCGATTTTGAAAGTTCATAAAATGTACCATTTTTCGACCATCCACAGTCCAAGATTTCATTATGATTGCACTCCAATATATCTTGTATCGACTAACTCTCCGTATAGTGTCGACCATTGCACAGTCCACAGCGTTGGTGTGGTTAGTTTCCGATGTAATGTTTCTTGATCTTTTGTGTTTAGTTTCTATAGAATACCAGGTCAAACTCGGGTCATGAATCAAAGTATTTTTTTGGGTTTTTTTTATAAACATAAATACAGAATAAAAACAGAACAATCTACTATATGTAGACATAACAAGCACATATCAAAAGGGAAACTAGGTAGGAAAACAAAAAAAGGAGTAAAAAATAAGAAATAATGGTAATTATCTACTACCTGTAGACAAGAGAAACACATGCCGAATTATTTCAAAATCTTACCTATAATTTATGCTGAAAAATGAAAAGTGGTGCTGTGCTGAAAGAAGAAGGATGAAAAGTTATTGTCGTTTAAAATTTTTATAAAATAGGTAAATTAGTTCATCGTTTAGAAGTGCAGTTTTCAAAGTAGTGGGATAAGTCGATAAGTAAAACACGAAGGGATTATTTGTTTTCAATCTAAAGCTGGCAGGAAGACAAGTGGCGACAAGTGTCATAGAGTTTAGACGTTGGATATATATAAAAAATAAATAATTATATAACACACAAAGGTGCCAAATAAACACATAATCAGTAACATTTGTCTCGAAAATCCCCATTGACACCATTTGCTATCAATACCAAGGCCCTTCTAACACCGTTAGTTTAAGCCCCGATAATCTAATATAATATCAGTGGTTTCTCTGAGTATGTATTTTGTGTGGTATTGTTGTGTTATAGACTTGCCAAACCGTCGGCGTCCGTTTCAGCAGATTGAGTGGATTTCGTTACCCATAAACTGTAATGAAGTACATTGATACTATATTGGGCTAAAAATTAACTAGTCAGTCTGAACACTTAAACCGGACCGACTTGTGATATACATAAACCTAATAAGATATCAGGTAAGCAATTTTGAATATTTCTCGTTCAATGTTGACAGAGTAGAGATGTACCAGCCCTTTCTATAATGTTATTGTTTTGCTGAGGTCATCAATACAAATATTTTGAACTAAAAATTGAAATTGGAAAATCATCTGACTTTCAGTTGACAAGATTTCACTTGGAGTGTCAAACTTCTTATTATTTAGAAAGATTAGAAACAAATAAATAAAAATAGCTATGGGTGTTCTAGTTGCATCGGTAAGTTTATTTCTTTAAATTTTTTTGTAATGAACAAAATAAGTCAGATATGTGGATTTCCTGGAATAACTGCAAATCATATTAAATCACACGAATGGATGTGTAGTTTAAGTTCTCCTGGCCTTGATTTTAAGCTAACTCCCGTTTGAAAAAAAAATTGAAATAAATTCGATAATCACCATATACTGTATTTAAGTAAGTAGAATTATACGCCTTATAACTTTTGGTCCTTTTGAGTCAACATTAAAACTGTGACAGAGCAAAGTGAATGGAAAAAACAAATGAAATATTTGAAGCGTAAATGCATTCATACGTGTAATTCAAAATTATTTTTAATTTTTTGTCTTTCACAGTTGAGAATTATCAATACCAACCACGAAAGAATCAAAGATTGTCCATAATTTCAGTGATCGTAAACGCAGTATGAATAAACTAGTAATTCAACAATTAATTTGGTCCAATCAAGATGCGAGCAGGATTTTGACGTCTTGGAGCGAGTTTTGAAAACACTATTCAATTACACCATGTGACAAAAATCAGAAATGAACCAAAACATATCAGACTTGTACAAAGGTACCACGAACATGAATAATTCTTCTCAATGTATTAGTGCATTAAATTGTACCGTTGAATCGGAAGGACTGTATTATAATGATACTTTATTGCACAAACTCAGTCACGAAAGAATGATGTTCAATATCCCTGCAACTACAATACTTTGCTTAATTATGGCCATTGGACTTATTGGAAATATTTGTGTGATTATGACTTATAACTTCTTCTCTCCAAAAACTCCGGCCAACTTTTACATAGTAATGTTAGCATCGTTAGATTTAACAAGCTGCTTACTTGGATTACCATATCATATATATAATTTATGTTGGCCTTACATCTATGCTTTACCAACAGTCTGTCGCATTTCGAGATTTTTTGAAAATTTTTCTAACCTTGGTTCAGGGTTTGTTCTAGTGTCTGTGGCTTCCGAAAGATATTTTAAGATTAAATTTCCTTTAATGGCGTATGGACGTACAAAGGCAAAGAAAGTTACCTTAGTAGTATTGGTGTTATCAGTATCATTGTCATGGCCACATTTCCTTATCAACCAAAGCAGCATCATTCAAATTGGCAAAGAACAAGTTACGGGCGAAGATTGTGGTTACGGAAATCGGAATGAACCTATGGTTATGGTATATGTCTTTATATTCCAAGGAGTGTTGTTATTTGTGTATGTGATTTCCTTCTGTGGATTTGTTGTTTTCTATGGATATATTTTAAGCGTAATAGTTCAACGCAAAAGAGAAATAAAGAAGAACCATATTTATATTTCAAATAAACAATGTACAGATAAAGCGCAGCCCACAGAAAACCGTTTTGACAGGTGTTTTAGTGTAACAGGTGTGAAGATTCGGTCAAGCAAAACGACCATATGTTTATTAACTGTCACTATCACTGCAATGCTTAGTTACACGCCATTTCTTCTCATCATGTTCCTCAGAAGTGCTGGACTATATTTCCAGACAACCCTGACGCCTTCGGGGGAATACTTTCATTACGGAACCTCAGCTGCAATAGATCTTGCATGTACAATCTGTATAAAATCGTATTTTATTAATAGTGCCTTGAATCCAATAATTTACAGTGTATTGAATCCCGCGTTCAGAAAAAGATGTCGCACAGGTATAAAGCGTATATCCCAACGACTGTCACAAAGACAAGAGGATAAGTAACGTAATGAATTCTATTCACATAGTCAATAAAAGTTTTGTATGTAATATAATATGCATGAAGATAGTAAACTTGCTTTCAATTTAAGAATACGTAAAATGTTTTTGGTATGTTGCAATCACTGAAGAGAAGACTAAAACTTTTTCAAAACGGTGTTAAGAAAACAAACAACGTCTGTTTTTATTATAACAACTGGAAATAGAGGAAAGATAATAATCGATATCAATCTCAGGAGGCAGAAGTCCGCAACATATGCCCCTATTCAAATCCCTGGAAGGTATTTTGACAGTTGTCGGCTGGAGTAGGGCCAGAAAAGTCCTGTTTTATGGGGACTTTTCTGCACCTCCCAAGGTGTGGAAGTTATAGACATATTTGTGTATCTCAAATTCACCAAACCCAGATTTATTTGGAAAGATAGATTGTAGTTTAATCAGGCCATCATTATTCCCAAATATTCACTTTTGCGGTTCTATTAAAGTTTTTTTTATTACCTTAATCTCTCATCGGCCATCAAAGAAAAAGGATCACGTGATACAACACGAAAGTAAGTAGCAGGTTTGGTAGATTCGAGGTATATTAATATGTCTAAGAATACCCATACCTTCGGCGTTGCAAAAAATCCACATAAACAGGGCATTTTCTTAATGGCGCTCACTAAGCCAACAAATTTCACAATATCTATCAGATGCTTAAATAGATGTTTCGGACTAAGGAGGCAGGTGAAAATTTATAATTTTTCCATCTCTTTCATCGATGTAACATGTTTGATAACAGTAAATGACCGTCTGCTTGATCTGGAGCTTTCCTGCTTAAATATATTACGAGTTGCTCTATTGTTGATTATACTCTATCGAGTATTTATATGGGAAAAGAATCTGGATTCATCTCAATCTGGAAAGGGTGACTTTCATTGGCATTAAAGATTTGTTTCATTATGATAAATCTATCTATTCGTATAAATTGAGATATATCTGTCAACTTTTCATGTTAACTCGATGGAAGCTTTATTTTCATGAAACATGGTGTATACACAGAAGTGTGAAAACACTTCAAAATAAACTTGTTACCATAATAAACGCTAGAGTTTTGATTTTGATATGACTGAATCTCGGTATGCTTATTGGAGAGATAAGATCTCGGACAAGTTTCAATTTAATTATGTGTAAATGAACTATAATTTGGCCTTTATTTATCAAAAACATGTCGAAATCAGACTGAAATTTGGCATGTTTTGGTAGGTGAGGTCAAATTTAAAGTTGTCGATGTTTGGTTAAAAAAATGTTTTTTTATTTTAATTCCCCGACTTTGAAATGTCTCAAAATCACCTTTTAATGTGATAGACAAGTATTGGTTGTCGACGGAAGTTCTGTTCACAATATTTCTTCCAAAAATCTTAGAGTTAAAAATATGCCTGATACAATGTATAGTTTTTTGTCTATTTGTTAATATATTGTAATGAAGAGTTATTGCCCTTCATTTAGTCATGGCTAACCTGTCAAAATCAGATAAGATAGTAAATAGTAAGTCAAAAGTTTTATACATCTTTGACCCTGAAAAATATTAATTATTCAATGATGTCGCGGGCATGATCTTCAAGCTATCTCGTTTAATCGGACGCATCCTAAGATGTCATCACAAACGGTTTTTGGAGACGATTGGGTGATTTGAATACGATTGCCATCCTAAAACGTCCATAATTGTAATGGTAGCTAAGTCGTCCGGGAGGTTGATAAGTGCTATCAGTATATCAAACATTTCGAGAGTTATATTTTCGTACTGCAAGAGCTTAATACCAAAGCGATAGCTATATATAGATTACTGTTCACTTAAATCTCCGTGCGGACAAACAATCTGTACGCATATTACATTTCTATGCCATTACCATGTGTAATAGTAGAGCTTAGGCCAACTTCAAACTCGGAGAATATGTGTGTTCAGCATGTGATCGAAAAAGATCAGTAGATTTTATATATTAAAATTCAGATAATAATATATGGTTTTTATTTTCACATCAAGGTTGTGGGTTTTCAAATTGGGAAACGAACAACCTTTCGTGAAGATCCCCATAATTGTCAAATTTGTCGGTATTGTAGGCGTGGACAAGCACCCTGTCTATGCAGTCCAGCAATCTGTCAGGATGCGTCGTCCAATTTTATTTAGGAATCCACCAATATATATCAATTTTTGCAAAATCTATGATACATGTTGCTCGTGATTCACCTAGTCTAGGTCTAAATCAAATAGCAATCTTAGAGACCAGTCCAGGCTTGTCTTCCACTGAGATAGGACAGGATCCCCACACCCTGACTACTGCCGAGTCCTTGATCTCTTAAGATTCGAGGGGATACGTTTTCCTCTTTCCTTCCGAAGACTGAGGAACCTTTGATAGGCAGAGGGCATGATAAATGTAGGTTCAAGCACAACCAGATCCCCTGTTCTTCCATAATAATTAAGGACAGCTTTAGATGCCGTGCATACACCTCCAAGCTCTTGATTAAGACAAAAGATGATTTCTACAGAATTATTGTTTATTCTCTTTTTAACATCTTCTTGAGCAAAAATAAAAGCGAAAGAAGCGGCAGTTACAATAATATACTGTATATATACAGAACAATACATGTACCGTCGAGAGGACGAGCAGGAAAATAAACAAAACAAAAAAAATGGCCGCACAAATAAATTAGGCCTGATGTTTCTGTTCACCAAGCTAGCTAGCTTCCTTCCGTTACGTTATAATCTGCGAATAGAATCCTCGCGAACATGGTGAATTCCTATATCGAATTAAGAGATCTGGTCCGGAGTGTGGTGGAGATAACGCGCCAGCATTAAGGACTTAGAATTACATGGTTTTTGAATGAAAATTTGACGAGGAAAAATGGTGATTTCATGACCGCAGATTTGGTACCGACATAGTTAAGCTAATTAGAGCGCTACTGCTTACCTAACAGTACGTCTAATGACTGATGATGAAATGATAAGGATGATAATGATGATGATAGGTTTAAAAGTAATGATGACTTTTAAGTTGACAACGTCGGTACCAAGTGCAGGCGTTATCTACCATTTTCGCGCTGCGAGCCTCTATTTATAGGCGAAGCGCGACCCGTGCTTCCGATATCAAGTTGTGAGAGCAGCTATAAAGAAGGGAAACTAGCTTGTCCGGGTCGTATCCGGTCTAATATTTTAAACTGGTTAACAATTTTCAATAATGAAATTAACATAAATTAAAGATTCCAGAAAACGGACAAGGCAATATAATCTAAAATAGTGACCAATGCGTAAGAACACGAAGATAAACAGTCGACGTCATAAAAGAGTTCCGTATTTCTACACGAGTTGTAATATTAATTATAAAATATTGGCTTGTCCTGTTCTTGTCCTTTTTCACAGAATTTGATAACATTTATTTAAATTTACAATAAAAACATTTAATCTATATTTACAATTTATGTAATTTATTCAATGACCTAGGCGTAATAATCTTTGACCGACTGACCTAGTGCCCTGCTTACCTAGTCCGTAACGACCGCCTAAGTATTGATGAGCCGATATAGTTCCAATTTACTAGACAATATTATGCGTTAAGCTAATGCGTCTGGGAACCGTAACATAAAATTTGACAATGATAATCAAATTAAACTATATTAAAATTGTCCTAAGTGAGTGACGACTCAAACAGTATTACTACACTTGCCTTGTAAACACACCGCATTTCTCCTTAACGACGCGACATGAATGACGGCGACGTGAGAACGGTTTTAGATAACTTGCTTCAAAACATTAATGTGCCAAAACTACTGCTAATACTAATAGATCCTTGATGTGACTAAATGACTAAAAATGGAAGTTTAACAAAAACATGTTTCTGTTAATGAAAGTTAAATATGGATGATGTTTCAATCGCTTTTCTTTCCCTAACAACGACTTATTAATACGGTTATAACATCGTGACCTTCTTAATTACGTTATTGTTTACAATGCTGTGTTCTGGACCAAACCATGAATATCAATGCATACTGCTTTTATGCTGGTAATAAACACCCCCACCCACATATTACACTCTCCCCACTCACAATAGAAAAATTCTCCTGAATTTGGTACTTATTTTAAAAAAAAAATAAAAATGACATGCGTTAATCTAAATTATACGTTAATCTACTAATCGCAATTCAATACCCATTGAGTCCATTTCTTGTATTATTCTCTGGATCCTGGTTGATGGTGCTGGTGCACAACTGGCTGCAACCTCCAACATATTCAACCAGTCTGCATTACCATCATTTTCTATGGCTATGTCTCTCAGGGTTCTGTAGACGTAGGTTTTTAATTTAGATAAATCCCTTTTTCTCTGCCTTGCTGTAGGCTGTTCCAGGAAGTATGAGAAAGTTATACTTCCCTGACAAATCCTCTTGGGTAAGAGGTACCACTGCCCCTTCGCCGAGCTCCAGAGCAGTGGCAGCAAACACAAATTGACCCAGTTTTTATTCCTTACTGAATTTTTCCAGCCTAATTGGGGCCACAATATTCTTGGTTGAGCTGCAACTCTACTGCGCATTCGACGCCCCATTCTCTTCTAGCAGCTGGAAAGAACTGCAGCTCTCTTTCCCTTGCTTCTGGTAAGTCTAGCTCTCTTCACTTCCTCATCCTTCTCTATCACTCCCAGTTCCTCAGACTCGTAATTCCTCCGTTTCTCTCCCTTTGTCTTACTCTTTCCTTTCTCCCCTCTCTGCTCATCCTCCCTTCTCTGCCTTTCCTTCTTCTCCCCTCTATGCTCACCTTCCCTTCTCTGCCGCTCCTCTTTCTCCTTTCCCTCCTCCCCCTCCCTTCTACGATTCTCCTCTTTCTCCTTGCTCTTTTGCTCCTCCCCTCTTTTATCCGTCTCTCTTCTTCCTCTCTTGTCTTTCTCTCCTCTTTCTCCTTTCTCTGCTCCTCTTCTCTCCTCTTTCTATCCCCTTTCACCCGTCTCTCCCCTTCCTCTCGTCTTTTTCTCCTTTCTCTCCTCTTTCTATCCTCTTTCAGCTGTCTCTCCCCTTCCTCTCTTGTCTTTCTCTCCTCTATGGCTATGGCCTGGGTTGATAAAAATGCCAACTAGTGCTGATTTTACAAAAAGAATTTTCAATCCAAAATGTTGATAGGGGGAGGGGAATTATGTTTATTTCAAATTAGACCTAAATTCTGGGACAAATGGCATGTAACTAAAAATTATATTTTGAATATGCATGGAAAAATAGACAAAAGTTCACTATGGTGGAGTTGACTCCCTCTCAAGTTTATGCCTTTTCCTTATCGTGATAGGCTCAAATTCAAAATGTATTGCATTGATATAGATAATAGGCTATTCATTCAGGTGAATACAGCCATACTAAGATGTGTTAACATGCATACTTTCTTTTCTTCAGTTTTGTCTATAATAACAGGGCTTTCTATGATTTTTAGAAAGAATTTTTACTTTTAGATTTTTTTTTAAAAACTTTACAGCATCTATTTCAATTATTTTTTGAATGAGGGAATACTTTTGGAATAGGAATATTTTGACAAAACAAAACTTTAGGAAAAGCCCCGAATCTGAATCTGCTTGTTTTTTCATGTAATTCCTGGGTAAAGGCTGTAGTTAGAAATACAGGTAACTAGTTTTTTCCTCAATAGTTGAATTTCCTTAATAGCCATTGTGTTGTTTACTGATTTTTACTATACTACATGAGAAAATATGCATGAAAGAGCTTATTTGAGCATCCCTGTTCAGATGTGATGGTTATGTGTCTAAACAATGGCAAAAAAAAAACTCAAAAGTATTCTTTTTCTCATGCTCTCTTTTGGTGTGTGGTATTGGGGTCACATGTTATGGACAGATGTACTTCTGGACATCCATTCCAAAAATGCTTTTTAACATGTTTTTGTTTACAACTGGTTGCGTTTGTGTATATTGAACATTATTGCTGCTGAGAACACAAATACTTGTGCAATGACATGCGCTTTTACACGTAACCTTTTACTTATACCTATTTTATTTGTATGGTTACAGCCACACTTCCTTTGAGACATCAACGCAAAGGGCCCAAGATATTTGTAGCAGCTTTTACGATATTGAGATCATACAGCGCTTAGTTGAAGTGGAATTACAGAAAATACAGATGTCTGAATGAAAATTGGAATGGTACAAAATCCCAAATACACATTCAAAGATCAGAATACCAGTTGACAATCCCTTCAATATCTTACTTACCATTTACTGAATGAAAAATGACTTGATTGGTAATTATATCATTAGCCTGACAAATCTGGCCATACCAAGGTTCTCAGACGTGATATATAGGATTATCATATTATATTACCACAGGTAGGACCAGACATCAAATGTCACTATCCACTATCTTCAAATGACAAAATCTAAACTTATTAGAACTTTTAGTATCTATACAAAGCTGAAGTTTAAGAGCCCATAAAGTCATTACCAGCTATTTTACAAACTTGTTTGTTTTGGTACCCTGTATAGCACAGGAACTTAATAGAATATCTGATAATGTTTTTATTGACTTTTTTTTAAATAACTCTGTATGGATAGTTGGATACCAAAGGTTTATAATTTTGTGAAAAGTTATTTTTTAAAAAAGCAGGTTCAACTCCATTAAAAGGTGACATTAGATGGCTTTCTCTACCAGTGATGATATCACACCAATACCAATATATTATAGAAATTTGTAGGACCTGATTTGCCAGGCTAGATCACAATATTCTGATGTACAATTTGTTAGAATCTATACACAAGTACATGTGTATGAAATGGATTGTTGCTGTAATACAATCAAATCAAATTGCTGCATTCCTTGATAAAGATACAAGAATAGTGGTCATTGCAGTCGATGTAAAATTACGCAGTTTGTCATAGCTTGACATTGTGAACATGATTGAAATTAGATCTTTCATTTGAGTAAAGCTATTTCTAACGAATTTAAAATGAACATTTATAATAATCTTTGAAATAAAATTTTTCCAATACAGCTTTTTCAAAGTGATTATTATAAAACTAAATTAATTTTTTGCATAAAAGTGTCATTCTTGTTGATAGTTTTGAATTTCATATCATTAAAGGTGTAAGCAATGAAAATGCACACTTGGCGTCCTGTACACAGAAGTTGACCCTGAAATTGAAAATAATAGTCATGATTTTCTGAAAGATAATACTTTTGATTTGTCTGTATTAATGCATTTGTCTTTAGATGAATATGGACACTTCACCTCAATCACTTTATGATTATCCATCTATCCGTCCGGCGAGGAATCTAGAAACTAACTACCTTTACAAACAAATGTTTCACATTCATCAACTGCATTCTGTGTTTGTTTAACAAAATCGTCAATAGCAATGTTTTCAAACTTCTTTCCATGGATAAGAGGATCAGCTTGTATGTCTTTTTTTTCAAATTGGAAAACCTGTAACATCTTAATGGTGACCACAGCTGATTTGATGCTTGACCATTTCAGTGAAATGTTTTCATTATCTATGTTTCATAAGCCAATATTTTGCAGCCAGATTTCAGAAAGAGGATCTTGGAAGATAATTATGGTCGGCTTTGACAGCCTAAGAATTAGCTGGTTTAAATGTTTGTGAAATTGGAAACTTACTTATGTTTGGGTGGCTTAGCCGTATGCATCTGAACATATCATTATAACCGGCCATTTTAATATAACGTCTTAATATCCTGACAGTGGCAGATCTTTAAGCTTAAGAGTACTGGCCATAAAATGTCTACTTTGATGAAAAGTTTGTAGTTGTGCAAGATAATTCTGTAATTAGTTTCTTTCAGTCGTCATCAAGTTTCTTTTGAAATTGTTCAAGGTAACAGGATAGATTCTAACTTTTTCCAATACATCATGTTCAATATCTTTATTTCTGTCAAAAATTCAAGCCTAAAAAATAAAGATAATGTTTTTCAAGAACTTTCTATCCCCAGAATCTGTGAAAGGATTAAATTACAATAAGTCTTGAACTACCATCCTACATGGATTGAACTGCACATTATCATCAAAGGAGTTATCCACAATTCGAAAGGATTAAATCAAAATTGGAAAATGGTAAGGCCTAGATCAATCACACTACCTCCATCGATAGTCTACTAGACTAGTAAATCTAGTCACTAGCCTAGGCAATCAGAATAATAGGCTTGGCCTATTAGAGGTCTTTTAGAGGGAGGCTACTTGATGTTTTTTTCTTATTCTGATTGTCTTTCAATTCACACTCCGCAACTGCGAATGAGTGGAACTGTCGAAGACGCCTGACCACCTGTCAGTTTAACTACTTTCGCTTTTTGACAGTTGATGTATTGATCTAAGATTATCTAGTTAACGGATGCTAAAAATAATCAAAGAACCTTACGAACCTTTCGATTAAATCCCTCTTTCTTCCAGATACCTTTCCCACTCTAGATTTCAATTCCTTTCTCAGTTAAGTTAAGTCCCGTAGACCATAATCACGCTTGTTATTTACATGATCAACCATTGTTGCAGATGACGACAAAACCGCAATAGCCGTCGCGCCATCTACATCAAGAAACGACAACTAGCGAATTTGGTTCCCCATTCAATGCCCATTGAGTCCATTTCTTGTATAATTCTCTGGATCATGGTTGCTGATGTAAAACTGACTGCCACCTCAATCATATTCAACCAGTCTGCTTAACCTTCATTCTTTATGGCTATGTCTCTCAGGCTTCTGTAGTGTATGTTCTTGATTTGGAAAGATCTCTGGCGTTTTTCTCTGCTTTGCTGTGGACTGTTCCAGGAAGTTTAGTAATTCCTTGACAAATCCTCTCGGGTAAGAGGTACCACTGCGCTATCGCCAAGCTCCAGAGCAGTGGCAGCAAACACAAATTGTCTCAGTTTTGTTTTCCTCTTTGCTGAACTTTTTCAACATAATGGAGGCCACAATATTTTTGGTTCGAACTGCAACTCTACTGCATACGACGCCCCATTTTCTTCAAGCAGCTGGAAAGAGTGGCATTCCCCCTTAGCACAATAGAACTGCAGCTCTCTCTCTCTTCCTTGCTTCTAGTTACTCTAGCCCTCTTCACTCCCTCATCCTTCTCCATCTCTCCCAATTCTTCAGACCCGTAAATCCCCTGTTTCTCTCTCAAGTGATATACTGGAGGTGCTTGGGGGGGCTCAGCGGTGAGAATTCCACTGCTCTCCTTTTGCCATGATAAGAAGGTTTTCTGTATACAGTTTGGTGGAATACCAAGAGCCATAGTCAATGGCTCAAATTCTATCCAAAATTCCTGGTATTCCATTTCAGGAATGTTTTTTGAGCTCAGCAACCCCATCCACTAGCCATTGTATTTCCAAAAACACCATCATTTTTTGAAGCCTTCCAATAAATGCCCTCCTCTTGGAACATCCATGGGCTAGGTTGATATGCACCAACTTCCTCTGATCGATACAATGCATCTTTTTTTTTCGAAATTCCCCCCTCCATTTGGAGCTTCTCATCCTCGCTTTGATGGCTTCCTCTGATGTATCTCTGGAAGGGGTTACCACTTTGGGTATTGGCTAGCCACCAAGCCCCAAAGTGGTAACCCTCAGAGAAGAACCGAGAATGTATCAGATCGAAAAATCTCGTACCCAGGCGAAGTCCACCATCCTTCGCAGCCGCACCATGGACAGACTAGCGACAAGTCTTCTCGACGGATGATGCCATTCCTAGAAATAGAAATATCTATCATTTTCTATGGTGTTGAAAAAGTCGAGGTTTCCATTAATTTTATACATATACCTTGACTTTTACTGGATGCTCAACCATACTTCGGAATTGTGCCGAACCGGAATCTGGGGATGCACCGTATATCAATTTGCATTTCCCTCATCCACATCTATCCGCTATGCAAGTAATATTCTACAGATTCTCCGTTCCCAGGTGCACTACCACAACTAAACAATTTATTTCCCATAACATCTATAAAATTCTAATTCCCTGGTTAGCGGCATCTAACATAGCAAACCATTCCTAACATGCAGAATCTTAAAAGTTACATCAAGCAGAAAATCAAACATGGCTTATTCCTTTCAGGTTTATATTGCCTGCTTGCAATTATTCAAGAAACATAATAATTAGTAACCCTTTTTATTCTGACATATTTATGAATTGGTATGATATATACACACGAAATATTGATTTTTTAGAAATCCACACTTTTAAAACAATAACGATTCCAGAACAAATAAGTCAAAACCTTTATACGTTATATAAACATAAATTAGATGCCATAAAACCAAAATATATATATATATGATATTCAAATAAAGAAATATAATTCGAAACTTAAAGGAATACGGGTTTGGGAGAAATACCTTGACAATGAGCTTTTAGAAGAAGACATTAAATCTATATCCAAAATAGTTCAAATAGTTTGCTGTAATATAAAATCTAGAAATTCGAATATAAATTTTTAAATCTCAGTATTTTTACAAACGATAAATTATGTAAGATAGGAAAAGAAAGTTTGACTCTCTGTGATGTGGTTCATGTATCGAAAGTTTAGAACATCTTTTCATTTCCTGCAGCGAATCACAAAAGGTATGGGATATCCTCTCAAGTGTTTTCGATAGAAATTGTATTAAACTAACAATTCCGAAATTCATACCAAAGTTTTGAAATTATCCCTGTCAATATGGTTGGTCTGCTAACTTTGTCTACTACGTGACCACAAGTCAAACTAAAATGGCGACCAATACAAGAACAAACGTTTTTTGGAAATATTTTACTCTAAATGAACAGAAACATTTAGAAATTCAACTTCAAGCTTGCACACATATTTGAAGTACAAGCTTGCGTCTGTAATTAAAAAAGCCGAAGGCGATAAGCAAAACACAGTAAAATTCTTTACAGCATGATGTTTGGTGCCAGTGCCACAGGCTGTACGAGTTCGGGCATGGTGTCTGAATCTACTCAATCATCATCCTCGAAAACTCTATCTTCTGTCGTCAACATTACAGATACTGACGATAGTAATGAAGAACAGCTAGTACAAGCACAGCAAACCAATATGAGATTTTTTTTGAATAAACCAGAAATGAGCGTACGCTCAGCCGAGTGGGCGACCATTACCAGGATTTTAGTCGAATTTTGTTGTCAGGACATGAGGCCTATCAGCATTGTATCTGAATAAATTGAATTCAAGTTACAAAGTGCCCTGTATAGTACTGTAAAGAATCATCTTAATTTGTACTATGACG